AACCGTTAGCTAAAAGTGGTACATTCCTAAGAAGAGGTTACCTAATTGAGATATCACCCATTCCCCTTTGACAGCAAATTAATAGAACGTGGGGTTATCCTACATTTGACAGCAAATTAATAGAACGTGGGATTATCCTACATTTGACAGTCAGTCATAGAACATGGTGTTATCCTACCTTTGACAGTCAGTCATAGAACTTGGGGTTATTCTACATTTGACAGTCAGTCATAGAACGTGGGGTTATCCTACATTTGACAGTCAGTCATAGAACGTGGGGTTATCCTATATCTGACAGTCAGTCATAGAACGTGGGGTTTTTCTACATTTGACAGTCAGTCATAGAACGTGGGGTTATCCTATATTTGACAGTCAGTCATAGAACGTGGGATTATCCTATATTTGACAGTCAGTCATAGAACGTGGAGTTATTCTACATTTGACAGTCAGTCATAGAACGTGGGGTTATCCTATATTTAAAGGACATGCATGCTGCTATGCTCTGCACAGCATGTTAACGGTGGGACTGTCAAAAAGCACAATGGGGAAACAGAAACATCATGGAAGGGAGTATCAGAGTCATCATTGATGAATTCCATTAACATCTGCTGTGCAATCTGGAAAAATACAAAAGAACTCTTAAATGGCCTTCCAGGTGATCAGGCAAGTGTATACATTTTATATTAACCACTTCAAAACCAGGTGTTTAGACCCCCTTCCTGGCCAGGCCATTTTTCAGTATTTAGCGCTGCGGTACTTTGACTGACGTTTATTCTGTCATGCAACGCTGTACTGAAATTAATTTTATACCATTTTTGGGGACAGATAGAGCTTTCTTTTGGTGGTATATAACCACCACTGGGGTTTTTCTTTTTTACTATAATTAGGAAAAATCACTGAAAATTTAGAAATTATGTTAAAAAACTGGGCGTACTATAGGCGCGTTTTTTCGTTCAGTGAAACGCGCGTTTTTATACCTCCATGGCGGTATGATTTTTTTCCCCTTTATTTTCTTTTAACTTTCAAACTTCCCGCCGGTTCTGCCCGCCTGTGACGCGTACGCTCGCAAGGGACGGAACCCGAAGACGGCAGCGGCCGGAGGACACAGCGGGGATCGCAGACAAGGTAAGACCTAGGCTGTATTCCTGAGTGTGGCTCGGGGTTACCGCTTTGTTGACCCTGAGCCACACTGGGGAATAACAATGGATACACGCTGAAATACACCCCAAAGAAGCTCCTGTACTTGTTTAGGCGTAGGGCGTTTTTCAGCGCGTTTCCACGGGCTGAAATACACCCAGGTGGGAACCATCCCCCATAGAAAAGTATGGGATTTCACTTGCTGAGCGTTTTTCAGCGCTTCGATCAGCGCTGAAAAACGCCCAGGTGTGAACCCAGCCTTAAGGTTGGTCTAACACGGTCGCATGGTGCCGGGGAAAGAGTCCAAAGCCCTGTGTGAGCATTGACAACCCGATTTGGAGCTTACACAGGGGCTTTCTTTTCCCAGTCCTGGGGGGTCAAACAGAGCACCATGGGAGTGAGGTAAAGCTGGCCATAAGCAATGCGAATTTCATCTGTAAATTCACACAGCGGGTGCTGCTGCTGGCACTCTTTTGGCCAGCATCCCTCGATCAGCCAATGAGCTGCCAGCTCTGTTCGGATATAAAATGAAGAAAGTGAAACGCTCATAAGTATTGATGGAAGAATCTGTTATATTTTTTCTTGTTCAGCCCGCAGGTTGAACAAAGAAAATATTACAGCGTAAGGTCAGCTTAAGTACTGCTGGGGGAGGTCCGTTTTACTTTGACCAGTATGGGGAGAGGAAACGGTGGTCACTTCATTGTACACCTCTCCTACGAACACTATATAATGTCAGCATACATAAACTCCAGGTGCCTAAACCTATGGGAACTTTATCGTCACAAAGGTTCAGGGAGCCCAAAACTTAAGAGCTGGACAGACACTTAAGTGTGCAGGCTGAACAAAAAAACAAATCTAACAGATTCCTGTAACCAGGCTCCAAATTTCCTGCAGCAGCTGCTGCTATTGTGGCTGCTGAATACCTGAGCAGGCTCTGCATCTAATTGCTGCAGTAACTGTTTGGTCACATTTTTTTCAGACCTGTTCCGTTGACAAAAGATGATTGAAAAATTGGAGGGGTGCTGACGGCTCAAATTTCAGCAGTCATCTTTCACTCTGTGTTTGGACAGCTTTATAGGTACATCTTTATGTGCTAAGGAAGGGGCTTGCCCACCCTATCCTGCAACCCCTTTTGTTTTTTTTAATGATCTGAAGCTTCTATGTACCATGGGAAGTTGTAGGAAGAGGTAGGAGGAAGGCCAGGTTATAACTATCATGGCAAAACCAAGGAGCAGGGTGAGCTGAGCTAGGAGAATGACTTCAGTGATTCTGCTGTGAACTTTGAGGATGAATTGCTCCACAGTGTCTGAATCAACAGATGAATGTGAGGACTTGAGCTTAAGATAATTTACTGTGTGTCAACTGTATGTAAATATTTGACAGCCCATAGATTTGCCACAGGTCAGCGGGTGTTCATGCATGACGGTTTCTTTCTTGACCTTTGTTAAGAAGCATGACAAACCTCCAACCCTGCTGTGATTCTGGCATCAAAAACAGATTCATAGGCATATAGATATAAAAATAGACAGACAGACAGAGAGTAGGGATGTTCAGATAGCAAGGTTTTGTACTCGGTACAAGTACAGATGCCAGATTATTATGACCACCTGACGTTTGTAGGCAAATTAGCTATAATTTCGCGCTGAAGTTGCTAGAGGGCCAGACCACTATAAATAGGGAAGCAGGTTGTTTACCACGACAGTAGAAGTGATTTTTTCTGAAGATATGGGGAAACAACGCGATTTAACAGCCTTTGAACGTGGGATGATTGTTGGCGCTCGGAGTCATGGAGCGAGTATCAGCAAAACAGCAGAATTCGTTAAATGTTCAAGAGCAGCTGTTGTTAAAGTGTTTAAAGACTGGACTGTCAGCCGAAAAATCTGGGTCTGAACGTGCGAATTGTGGCCGTCAGCGACTAGTCAATGTTAGGGCAGAAAGGAGAGTGGCAAGACTGGTACAAGACAACAGAAGGGCAACAGTGCAGTGTCAGATTCCTCGCATCACCTTTCAACATCTCGTGGAGTCACGAGGTGGCCCAACGAAGTCATCTCGTGGAGTCATCTCGTGGCCCAACGAAGTACTGATGGGGTGCTCATAATAATCTGGCCACTCAGTGTATATATTTCCCAGAACAAGTACTGATACATTTTTGGTAGTTCTTGTGAAAACGCCAAGTATCGTCACTGGTACCTGAACATCCCTAATAGAGAGTGCACTGGATGAAGGCAGGGTTGCCAGCAGCGGTCATGTGTAGCCAGACCGGCCATAAGTTTACTTAAAGCAGAATTCCAGGCAGATCAAATCTTAACCCTTGCAGTGAGGCTACCAGCCCACTGCAAGAGTTAAGTGCTCATTTTATCTAGGGAGCTAAAATAATAAGTTATACTCACCTGAACCGTGATCCTGGCTTGTTCTTACAGCGCTCCCTCCAGCCTGTCTCCTCCTCTTCTCCAGTGATGGTATGTCCCTTGGCATCCGCAGGATCTTTACACTGTGCATAGGATGCGATGACTCACAGGACCTTAGACTACTGCAACGGAGGGGGAGGGAGGCTGAAGGGAGCAGTCCAAGCCAGGATCGCGGTTCAGGGGAGTACAACTTTGCTATTTTAGCTCCCTAGACAACATGAGCACTTAACCCTTGCAGTGCAGGACCACTGCAAGGGTTAATATTTGATTTGCCTAGAGTTCCGCTTTAAAAATCCAATTAAACTCGCAGTTTCAATGAGCTAAAAACATCCCAGGTACTTAAAAACAAAAAGTGTTCAAGGTCATACAGTTTGTTTTCCTTCTAATGCAGTCTCAACCGGAGTAGAAAAGCCTGTCCTTTGCCAGCATGCAGAAGAGTGGGGCCTATGCTGTTGGTGGGGAAGTAGTGGTCTCTTTGCAGAAGTCAGACCTCAAGCTCTGCAATCTGTAAAATCCATGATCCCTGCTGATTTGAGCGCTCTGGCTTTAATTCATCAGGAGGGGCATGTCAGACCTCTGCACTGCTTCCATAGAGAGACTAAGGGTCCCACTCTGCAGTATGCTGCCAGGGGACCGACCTTTCTACTCAGGCTGTGGACGCTTTAGAAAGAAAACACTAAGACTTAGTACACGTTTTGTTTTGATGCACGTGGAATGTATTTAGCTAATTTAAATTGGATGGTTTAATTGGGCTTTACATACTAGTACTGGCAATAGATACAAGGGAGTAAGAGTGGTGTTCAACGAGATCTCTAGATTACAAGATACACATAGTCTATAGGTAGGTTTACTTTAACTGACGTGAAGAGGTACATATTTATTATATGTCCATAACACATGCATTTATTTTGTGATTGTGGGCAGTGGTAATAATCAAATGTCATGACAGAACTCTGCTGCCATTGCTGACCTTTTCCTGACTGTTATGCTGACCCACCGGCACCTACACCACACCTGGCACTGAGCCACAACAGACAAGTTACAAGTCCTCATCTATATAATTGCATTTGGTTAGTGATTCTAATTGGTGAAGAGGGTCAGCAGTACAGCCAGGCACAGTATTATTTTTTATAAGGGGTCAGCAATTGCTGCCTCCACGATTCACTTCTAGTGAAGATGCTTTTAGAAACCCTCTCTTCCAATCTGCAATAGAGAAACAATAACAGCATCCAGTAGCTAAAAGGAGATGCATGGACAGAGTACTTATTAGGACCTTAGGAAATCAAATCCATAATAAATGCTGAATCTTAGTGACTGTGCATGGATCGCCTGCATCACAATACACTGCCAGCTGACACAACTTGACAACTACAAAGACACGTATACAGAAGCACATGTACCACAATCAGAATGATCACACCAGCCAGAACTCTGATAACTGGGAGAAGTCCGCACCTGTGTCTCCGATGATAATATATTTGAACAAATAAGCGTAAGACATGACTGCTGCACACCAAGCACACAGATGATCACAGGGTGTAGTCTCTTTGCCTGCTGGACCAGCTCTCGATGGTCAGCAAAGAGACAATCTGGTTTGCAGGCTACCTCTCGGATGCACCAGGAAGTCTTCACCTATTGGTTACTAAACTAGAGCTAGAGCCTACGTTCCAACACGCTGTCATCATATCACGTGACAACCGTGCTTGCGAATGTCAAAATGACTTCCTGTGCTATACCGGAAGCTGGCCTTCCGCCATCTTGGTGGAGGCGGAGAAGTGTGGCTATAAAAAGAAGGAGATAACCGGTGTTAAAGATGGAGGTGAGAGAATTGATTTATATATTAAGAATTTGCAAGTGTAGCGGTTATGGTGATAAATTGGATTTTTGAAGTCGGGTGAGGTTTACAAATGGCATTTCACTGGCCAGGAGAAGACGTCCAGGAACTTCGGGTTACCTTTGTAAAGCTGGGGGCTGATGAGCCAATTTATTGTATGGAGTCTTGTTGTTGGAGTGCTTTGTAGTAGGCCCTATTAGCTGGGAGTTCAGATTCTGTATACACATAGTAGAGACTAAACCAGGACGATGGCTTCTGACAGGTCTATATAGTGTCTGCTTATGGTGTAATCTCTCCAGAGGCAATAGCAGTATGGTTCGTGTAAGATTGTGATTATATAGGTATCTGACCTCACTGATCTGTACAGAACACTTGCTTCAGGTCAGTGTTAAGGTGCCCATACACTGCACGATTCTCGTATGAGAATTATGGGAAATTGCGCGATCGTACGAGAATTGTGCAGTGTAAATGAAGACGTGCAAATGTTTCTGCTGTACGGTCGCACGTCTTTTGTCTAAGGAGCATGCTAGAAAACCAGCCGAGAATCGTACGATTTTCAGCTGGCTTTTAGCATGATCGTAAGATCTCAGGGGGGTGGGCTTGCGATGATCGTAAGTACGATCTGCCTGTCCAAGATGGGCAGATCGTACGTTTTGCAATGGTTGTAAAGTGTATGGCCACCTTTTAGGGGGCAGATCTAGGTTCCTCCACAGCCCTAACAACATCTGAATGAAGAACAAATAGAAAATCACCTACTATGACCATAAATAAGTCTTTCCTTTATTCCAAACTAGTGCAGGATAGAAGATCAAACTCTGCTGTTTTCTGCTATACTCAGCACTTTGTCTAAAGCTGGTCATACACCTTACAATTAATCGTTCAATTTCTGCACAAATACCCCATCATGCACAGACAAATGTCGTTTTTGATACCATTCGTCAGCAATACTAACTGGCAGGATTTTGTCGATCGACAGAACAGATTGTCATTTGTTCATGTTTTTTGTTGTACTGAAATTCCACTAATCCATCTATTTATTTATTTCTGTCCGTTTCAACACAAGTTTTCTAGTCTGCCCGTTAAACCAAATTTAGCCAGTTGTACAGTAATTGGGATCGTGCACTTACCATCAACTGGCCAATTATTGTACGGAAACACAACCGTGTTCATTTTTCGTACAGTAATCGCAAGGTGTATGGGCACCTTAAGAGCGCAGTTGTTAACTGACCCTGCTGAAATCTGTGATGATATGTCAGATGATAAAGTATATAGTATGCTTCTCCTCCGACAGCCGCTGTAGCCGCATGCTTCTCCTCCGACAGCCGCTGTAGCCGCATGCTTCTCCTCCGACAGCCGCTGTAGCCGCATGCGTCTCCGCCGCCAGCCTCTGTAGCCGCATGCGTCTCCGCCGGCAGCCTCTGTAGCCGCATGCGTCTCCGCCGGCAGCCACTGTAGCCGCATGCTACTCCACTGATCATCACTGTAGCCGCATGCTACTCCACTGATCATCACTGTAACCGCTTACTTGTCTACCACCACTACGCGCGCACCTCTCCACTGACTGCCACTGTACACACACACTCTTCTCCACTGATTGCCACTGTACACACACTCTTGTCCCCTTACTATCATTGTACCTGCATGCTTCTTCACAGTACTTGCATGCTTCTTCACTGACCACCTCCGTACCCACATGCTTATACCCTTACCACCATTGTACTTGCATGCTTCACAGTACCTGCATGTTTCTTCACTGACCACCTCTGTACCCACATGTTTATCCACTGGCTGCCACTGTACCCGCACACTTCTCTACCAACTGCCACTGGCCCTGCACACTTCTCTACTGACTGCCACTGTACGCACGTGCTACTTCGCTGTACATGCACACCTATCCCCTGATCACCCCTATATCCGCACACCTTTCTATTGACCACCACTATAATTCTTCCTCCTTAAAGGTGCCCATATACCTGCCGATCGGTGTATGGGCACCTTTTAAGGAGGAAGAATTATATAGATGAGGGGAGGTGCTGACAACACCGCTTTGAACTTTAGTGCATCAGTGCCAGCCCTCTGCAGGAAGATAAGAGCTGACTACACTTCTGGCAGGCTCATCAAGTGTTTTAAAAATATATAACATGGGTTGGAGAATTGTGCTGATTTTTTTTTTTACATCATTAACGGCAAGTATACTCCTACAGAAAGTTCACTTCTTCTGCCTATGCCTGCTTGCCTGAATTTTGCCATTATGGCCCAACACACCATTTACATCCTGCAGGTTGAGTCTTCTACCCGCTGACTGTGCCTATATTCTAGGTTCTATGCGACTGTTTCTTAAGCATCTCCTACCTTGGGAGATTGTCCAATAAAAACCTTAGGACAGAGCACACAGATGAAGCCAGTGGGAAGATTTCGCCCACAAGCGTAAGTTTTGTGGCGGGTAAAAGTGCCCATACACTTTACAACCCTCGCAAGACTTTTGTCTTGCGAGGGTTGTAAAGTAATTTAAAAAAACGTACAATCTGCCCATCTTGGACAGGCAGATCGTACTTGCGATCATCGCAAGCCCGCCCCCCTGAGGGGCGGGCTTCCGATGACTGCAATGAGGGGCGGGGGGGCTTCCGATGACTGCAAACGGGCAGTGTGCGCATGCGCACACCGGCCCGTTTGGCAGTTGTCGTACAAGCAAGCCACTAAGGTTTTCCAGCCTGCTTGTTCAACGGAAGACATGCGACCGTACAGTAGAAACGGTTGCACGCCTTCCATACACTGCACGATTATCATACGATAATGGTGCAGTGTATGGGCACCTTTTTAAGACTGCAAGGTTCAGGTAAGTATACGGCTCAGGAGGGTGGGTTATTAGGATGTGGGGGAGGGTTCAGACTAGGCAGGAAGGTTAAAGGTAGAACTGACAGGGTTATTCACAAAAGGCTGAAGAGTTTGGAGAAGGCAGGAGAAGTGAACAATCCAGGACAACATCGCTGAACTGGAAAGTGAGCTGAATTGGAGAATCTTTCCAAATCAGCTATGTTGTCCTAGATTGTTCCCTTCTCCTGCCTTCTCCAAACTCTTCACCCTTTTGTAAATAACCCTGTAAGTGTTTTGTTTTTAATGCAAACATTCTGAAATTGCTACTTCACCACTTGATGCCCATGTGCTGTTTATAAACATCATGGACTTTAAGTGGTTAAAACAAGCTCAAGGATACAGAGCTACCCTGAGCTTGGTGTAATTTTTTTCAGCTGGCTTCCAGCTATTCAGTAAGTGATCCGGGTGCCTGTGAAGCTGCCCTTGTTTTGCCTGATGAAGGGGTTCCTGTGTGTCCCCGAAACGTCGCACTAAGTGTGTTATTTTGCTTTTGATGTACGTCAATAAATAGACGTAATCGATTTACTATTGGAGTGCCGGTGTCTATTTCTTTTCTGTGAAGCTGCCCTGACACATGGTGAATCGTGTAAGGGTGGCGAATGGGAACAGTTTAGAGTACCTCCATTCCCCCATCTGCTCTGTGATCACAAGACCAGGAAGCGATGTGCTTTCTGGTTCAGAGCTGTCACATTGATGGCTCAAATTGGCTGAAGAGCTGATTAAGCGCTTAATCGCCTGCAGTAGAGGGCAGGGGAGACATTAGGTCTCCTGAAAAGAACCCGTCACCTGCCCATATTCTATTACATAAGGTGCTTGTTAGTCCTCTATGTGATAGCAATAAGTTAAGTGAAATACAGAGAAATGAAGAGTCAGGTGCCATTCACACCAGGGCGGATGCATTTCAGTGCGGTTTCCGCATTAATTTTAAAAGGGCGTTTTGAATCGAGTTTCACCACCTAAACGCAATTGAAAGTGTGCTGATTCCGCGTGTTTCCCCTAGGTATGACGGAACCGCCCTGGTGTGAACGGGGCCTCACTGAGAAATCCAAACGAAAGTGTAGGGTGCATACATATTTGTAATGAGCGATTTATACCACACATATTGGGTACTTCCACCAACATCGGAGTGAGAACAATTTTTCTATAGCCATCATTCTCTGGACTCTAAACTGATGGCCTGTAAAGGCTTTAAATTCGTTGCCTATGGACAATTTTGTGTACTGTAGTTTTTCACCATTTCACAGGCACACACAATTTTAAGGCTTGACATGTTTGCTATCTATATACCTGACACAACCCCGTCTAATTTACCAAAATATTTGAGATTATATTGTGTTTGTGTACACCTAAATTAATTTTAGTGTATTTGTTTCTGAACATATAGATTTGATAAACATTTGTGCAAATATTGTGTGACATCAATTGCAACTGTCACCGTTTTATTCTGCAGGGCCTCTGCTTTCAGAAATGCACCAAAAAGGTGCATGCACTATTTTTTTCTAGCGTAGCACACCACAACACATGGTAATTACAATGCATTGTGGTGCTCTACAACACAAGTGCGTTATGGTGCCATTAAGAATGAGTGTCACAACAGTGCACCAACACACATTTTTACAGCAGAAGAATTGAACCCTGCCTTAGGTGTTTTACTGTGGAACATGTAAGTGTGAACAGGCCTGGATCGTACGATTATCGTAAGGTGTGTGGAAGCCGTGCGACCTCTACTACTGTAAGGTCGCACAACTTTTAACTTGCGAACATGTTGGAAAACCCGCCGAGCATCGTACGAGCGCACACTGCCCGCTCAGCATTGGAATCATCAGAAGCCCGCCCCTCAGTGGGGAGGGCTTGCGATGATCGCAAGTACGATCTGCCTGTCCAAGATTGGTCAGATCGTACGTTTTTTTTAATTACCTTACAACCATCACACAACAAAAGTCGTGCGATGGTTGTAAGGCAGGGGTGGCAAACTCAAATTCATCGGGGGCCGCATCAGCAGTATGGTTACCCTCAAAGGGCCGGTTGTATAGGACTATGCATCTACTCTTTATTATCATAAATAGTTGCCTCTGCATTCAGTTGCTACTGGTTTTAATAATAATTTAAGTAATAACTAGCCTTGAAAACATCCACAAGAAACTTTATTGGAGACTGCTCAGACTGCAGCAGAAATCCCTAATCTGGCGTTTTCAAGTGACAGCTGTCACCTAGTCAAGTTAATGATCAGGTGACAGCAGCTCCATGTAAACGCATGCAAGAGGCAGTTAAAAACCACTCCAAGGGTTTTTTTGGCCCTAGGTGGCCTTTAAATGCTGACAAATGCTTAATTTGAAGGTTAAATTGCCAAAACATTGTTTCATGGTTGTTAGAGGTTAGAACCTCTGTTAGGCTTTTACAGCAATCAGGGAAAAATCTTCCAGCAGGGACACTTGTTCCAATGACAGGTGTCTAAAGCCCACCATTTTGATCCTATTCCCTATCTGTCCAGAACAAACACAAAAATGGGTTTAGATGTACTTTAACCCCTTCATGACTGAGGCCTTTTTTTCATTTTGTGCACCCATGTTATATTCCACATTTTAGGCCTGAAAATGACTTAAAACCCCCAAACATTATATATTTTCTGAATGCCAAGACTCTATAGAATAAAATGGTGGTAGTTACGCGGCGGTGTCCGGGGGGCGGCCCGGCCCCTTATACGGGACACAGAAGCGATCTGGCAACAGGTAAGTCGCCAGAATCGCTTCTGTTGTAAAGCCGACAGTCGGCTCTACAAGTTTAAACAGAGTCCCGGCGGCTATCTGTTTAAACAGCCCCGATGCTGGCGACGTACACTGTACGTACACAGCCCCGATGTTGGCGACGTCGTCAGTCACGAAGGGGTTAATAGTTATTCGGCTCCTGTGCTTCAGCACTTTTTTTAGGCCAGGTCAGATTTATTTCAATACTTCACAACGAAGCATTTGCGAATTTGGCAATCGTAAATTGACCTGTTGATCAAAAACTACCAACAGAAGCCTTGCCTCTTTGCAAACATTTGTTTTTCTGTGTGGAATGTACATTCAAATTGAACAAACCCAAAACATTGCTAGGAATGTTTGTGTGTTCCTTCATGCGGCATCCAGTTACCTCAAGACACACCCTGTGTTGTCTGTGGTCAGTTGGGGATGGACTTGAAATGTAATGCCATGAATGTGTGATATTGGCCGACAGCACAGCTCCAGTGGAGAATATTTAATTATACAGGTAGCATTGAACATACTTATTACTTTTATATTGAAATCTAATCAAAAACAACAACTCCGCCAATAAACGTCCTTGTGAACCCATTTGTTTTGACATTTTTATTGCTATACCAATAGAATGCCCAGATAAAAGGTTTGCAATGACATGTTACTTAGAACAAAATGAATATTAAAGTACAATTAACACTTTTTTTTCCATATATCTACTACTAGCAAGCAGTAGCTATATGCAAAAACATTTAAAAAAATAAAAAAGTTACCAAATAGGTAGAAACGTACCTGTGTCTCCCCCACTCGCTCCCGTCTGATGATCTGAAGGATCATGGGGTGGGAACATGCATGGTAGAGATCTTCAGCCGGGAGAAGAGGAGAGACGCAGTGTAAGTCAATGCAGTCAGCCGGGAGCGTGCCCATTGGAGAGACTCCGTGGGCCACAGAAGAAACAGTGGTCAGTGCTGGATCAGAGACCGGCACCAGCATTGGAGGGACTCCTGAAAATGACAGGAAAGAAGAAGATGATCGGATCAAGAGGCATCATTTAAGGTAAGTCCTTTCAACATCATTCAATGAAAGAAATCACCAGCACTCCGTAAATGAAATACAAAAAATGTCCATTTATTTGGACTAAACGTCCCACATATCAAATTATTCGGATTATCTGATATGTGGGACGTTTAGTCCAAATACATGGACGTTTTTTGTATTTCATTTACGGAGTGCTGGTGATTTCTTTCATTCATTGACTGCTGTGCACGGCGCCATCCGTGATTGCCACTGTTTCCACTTGAACCGGGAGCACTGTGAGGAGTGCAGGGGGACCTATCGTTTTCTGGAACTTACAACATCATTGGGGGGGGGGTTGTGACTTTAACGTCACTTTAAAAGGCTAATGTATAAACATTCCACCCAGCATATAGTTAGATGAATGCTGTTCACATGGCATTCCCACCACTGGGTGGAGCCTCATCAAGTTGGATGGACTTTTGCCATAATCTGCAACTAATCTTAGCTACACCTGTCAGTGTGCCCTCCTTTAGCGGTGATGGGACTCGGATTGCCACTCCTTCTGGCATTACAGTCTCCCTCCCAGAGATGCTCTTTTTGGCCATTGGATGGCACTCTGTTCCCAGCATTGTGCAAAGTTTTGTTTTGGCAAAAGAGATTTCTGCTTGAAGAGTACTGCCAACACTGGACTGGTGATGAAGCTGGGGACAGAGATGCAGTGTAAAGAGGGTAAGATTCCATCCAGATCTTTGCGATGCGGGAGTGCGTGGGATGCTGCATTGCTTGTGCCAGTGATAAGTGCGCTGCGGTGCCATTATTTCTTAATAGCATCCTAGCACACCTAGCCATCACGTGCGTTGTGTTGCACCTATTACCATGTGATGTGATTTTTAAAAAAAGGTGCATGCACTTCTTTGAGTGTGATTTAGCTGTGGTAGGCATCCTGTTCAAATGAATGAGCTGCACAACACCCCCCGATTAGGTGTGTGTGGGGGGGGTTACAACATTTAAAAAAAAAAAAAATGGAGTTACACTTTATTATAAGAGGGGTCTTAGGCCCCTTTCACACAGGTAGTCCGATCAGATCCAACTTTGAGTTTTTAGGTGGAACTGATCCGGTACCCAATGTTAGTTTATGGGAAGCCGGACCTAACTGGACATGGGTCCGTTTACATCCGATCACGTCCAGAAGAAAAACAAAACTAAATCGGAACAGTTTCGATCTGGTCGTGATAGATCGGGGGTTAGCTGATGTAAATGGACACATCTGTTTACATTCAACTCCCCATAGACCTAACATGGGTCTGTACAGCTCAGTGGTTCCTCCATTTCCAATGGAGGCAAAAAGGGAAAGGACACGGATGTCCCAAGAGTGACGTATTTAGTTTTGATCAGTAGGGGATCCTTGCACCACACCGCAGGCATTGCTGTGCCACGCGTTCTGGTGCAGGTAATCACACTGCGGGACAGGAGGCATGGCTGCAGTGCCTTTGACATGAATGCACCACCATGCCCCCTCCCGCCCCAGAACACAGGGAGGCTGTAGATATACAATATGCATTCCAGCAACTAACCGTGCTGAAACACACTGAAATTTGTGTGAATAAGCCCTCAGGCTGTGCCATTGCTCTTTGGGCCAGGAGCTAGTTTGCACTGAAAATACCTCTCTCCCACAGTGTATGACACATTTTAGTACAAATTCCCTTTTGATACATTGAGGGGAATTTATCAAAACTGGAGCAGATGTGCATGGTAATCAATCAGCATCCATCTTTCATTTTCAAAGCTTAACTGAGATTGGTTGCCATAGGCAACTGCTCCAGTTTTGATAAATCCCCCATGTAAACACTAAAAACATTCCCAAATACATCAGAGAATAGTGGAAACTGCATAGATGTACACCTAGTAAGAACAAGCATATCAATGTAGTCATCACTGGATTGTAGTACACAATTACAAGTCACATAGAAACATACATAAGAGCTTCATATGTAGCCATGCTTCGTATTTAGGGTGTCGGCCCTCAGCAGTGCACATGGAATGCTTGGTCTATTATCAGACTTTTGATCTCCGGTTATGTTTTCCTGCACTGACTGATGCATGGCGAGCTGCAGCTGAGCTAGTGTGGAGGAGGGTACCTGTATACATCACCACTCTCATAGAACATTCTATGAAATCCACCATACTTGTCCCTTTGCTGCATTTGCTTCCTCACACTTGGTACTTGCGATCTCCCTGCTGGTACTTCACGGGTGTGCCTGATAGGGAGAACGCCCCGGCTGGGAGGGCTCCCGGCGAGTCACGTGTTAGTGCTGGCATAATGAGTGAATGGTTGGCGCTCGGGCAGCGTAAGCTTCGGCTGGCACTTCACGGGTGTGCCTGATAGGGAGAACGCCCCAGCTGGGAGGGATCCCGGCTCGTTCGGGCAGTGTAGGTTTCGGCTTGTTGAAAGTCTAGAGCGGTCTCTATGATAAGTAATAGTGTGCGGTGTGTCTGTATAGATGTGACTGCAATTGGGAGTTAGATGTTTTGTACCGGAGTTGCACAATGTACGCTATCCCCGTGTAATAGTTTTGCTGCTCCATATTTCGGTGTGGTTGGTGTTTTGCATTATAACATGTATGAGGTAGTGGCGGGAGAGCCAGTGTTCATCTGTTCCCGTGTTCTTATAGAGTGCTGGTGTACGTGTTCATTGATGGATCTGCACTTCTTCCCGGGACTGGACAGTGGTGATGGGGCAGGACTTTTTTCAGGGGAGGAGGGCCCCTCCACTGCTCTTGGCTCCCAGCATGTGTATGGGATGTATGGCCGCAACAAGGTGAGCTCCAGCACCATTTCCTGTATGATACGTGCTCACTGAAATGTCTGCTTCAGGCTTCACTCATACAAGTACAGTGTCAGAGGACTGCTCTCATTTTACTGAGCTGCATCAGAATATGAAGACATTTGCAGTATGGCTATAGCTAAAACTTGTGATAGAGCAGGAAAGGGTTAAACCACTATTGGGTTGTTTCTTCCTTTGTGTCCAGTTGGGGAAATTTGCCTTAATTTCCTGTGCTGGAGACACAACTTGACAGGAGGAGATCTCCCCACAGTGAGAGGAATTTCCATCTTGGACAGTTGTCATGGGAATGTGTGTCCCTGTTGGATGATTTCCCCCCTCACCTTTTCTTCCAGTGACACTTCTGAAATGTGGAATCTTTCCTCGACAGTGATCTCCGAGAGAGAGAGAGAGAGATATGAACCTCTCTAGCAGAGAAACAGACCGAAGGTTCAACTGTTGTTACATGACTCTCAAACATCTACATACAAAGCATTCTGTGAAGAGGCACAGACAAACACTGCAGGGGGTGTTCATTAAAACTGGCTCAGTTGCCTATGACAACCAGCTTCTCTGTTTAATGTTGAAAGCTTAAAAGAGAACTATGGGGTAACTTTTTTCCTTAAAGTTCTCTTCTGGGTCACAGGAGGACATATACTTGCGTCCTCCCGTGGCTCAAAAGTCAGTATATAGCGGGAAATGCTGACAATACTGTCGAGACCCACTCCGCTGGCTGATTGACAGCGCGCTCTGCCTATCTAGAGGCAGAGCCAGCTCTGCCCGCCCTGTCCGTTCCTCCTGTCAGCGATGGAGGATCAGAGAGGGGAGGGGGGAAATCCCTGCAGGGAGAGGAGCGAGTGGCGGTATGTGTTCGCTCACTTCCCGATCGATAGAGCCGACCTGTGGCAGTTACAATGTCACAGGTCAGCTCTAACTATGAGTTTGAGTGTAAATCACTCACCTCAGTTCTTCTTTAAAGCGGACCTTTACACTCTCAAAAATCAAATTCTAACAATGCATACCAATGTATGATGATTAATAATAGACATGTCAGGTATAAAATGCTGTGATTATGAAATACTTACACTTGCAGAGCATTCACTTTCTGCTTTGAAAGGGCAAAATGACTTCAGTTTGCCAAAGCAATGCACACTGGGATTGCCTTGTCATCATAAGAGCATTGCTGGGAAATCTCATCTGTAATCTCAGTGAAAGGCATTTTCCTCCCCTGAGATGATGTGCATAGTCACATGTCCTAGTCACATGTCCCAGTCACATGTCCCAGAAATACAGGAAGTAAATGAAGATCTAGTAATCTGCCCTTAGTAAACATGGCCACTGTCAGAAGACTGGGGAAGAAAAGAGAAACAAGGTATGCAAAGAATACAAAGCCGCCAATTATCTAGAAATATGTATTCATGCAGATTGGCATCACTAAATATTTATAAAGGTGTGTTTGGTGTTGTTCTAAAGATATGGGTACAGGTCCGCTTTAACTGAGCAAACTGAAGAGAGAAGCTGATTGGCTGCCATTAGAAAACTGTCTGCTCTAGTTTTCATAAATTTTCCCCTGCGTCTATGTTTGAGAGTCGCGGCAAGCTGGAACTATAGCGAGAGCTTTACTTCCTGGCATAAATGAAAGTGTCAATATTAAAGATGGTACATCATTCCTTAAAGTGCCATACACCTCACCAGACTTCATTTGATTACAAAAAATATATATATATAGATAGATATAAATGCTTTGCACCAATATTTAAACCTTGAAGGCAGCACTAAATTAGTGTATAACTAAATAACAAAACTTCCTATTGATTCTGTGCTGCACTATATTCCGATTAATGCATATTGCAAAACAACCACTTAATAGTAGAAACATCCACACAGTGAATCACTAAAAGTCCACTTCAAAAATCACAGTTATTCACAAAAAGGGTGGAGAGTTTGGAGAAGGCAGGAGAAGTGAACAATCTAGGGATAACATACCTGAACTGGAAAGTGAGCTGAATTGGAGAATGTTTCCTAATCAGCTATGTTGTCCTAGATTGGTCACTTCTCCTGTCTTCTCCAAACTCTTCACCCTTTTGTGAATAACCCTGTAAGTTTCAGTCCCACGTAAAATCCACAATCTGCAGTGTTCTTCAATTTGTGGTTTCCACCATTCCTCCATACATGCGTTCCCCATCAGTCTATAAGGTGCCTCCACCACTGCCATGAACACCCTGCAGAGTGCAGCTCACCTGGTTACAGGACCTTGGAAATAAGTCTTCTAACACAAATCTCTTTAGGTTCAATCCAGGGCGGTATGATACCCCAGTCGATAAGAGCAGTTCAGCTGCACATCTCCCCGTTCCCTTCTTACACTCCGGCACTGATGCCAAAAGCAGGTCAGCAGCAGCTGTCAGAGCCCCCTTTTCCTTCTTATACTCTGCAAAACCATATACAAGGTAAAGAGGAAATCCATAGTGTACACCGCTCATAAACAATAGTTTATGAAAAATTGCTACTCACATAAAAGCACATATGGATTTCCTCTGAACAGGCGGCTGAACAGCTGTTATCCATTGGGGTATAATCCCGCACTGGATTGAACCTAAAGGGATTTGTGTTACAGGACCTTGGAAAAAGGTCTTATAACAGCGGTTCTCAACCTGAGGGTCGGGACCCCTTCGGGGGTCGAATGACGATTTGCCAGGGGTCGCCCCGGAGTCTCCTGCTATTAGATAGCGGCTCCCGGCCGCCTAGGAGAGAAACACTTTCTCCCGAGCAAATTAAACCTTTTTTGACTGACATTGGGGGCCGTAGGCCGCCGTAAGTCAGAAAAAAAAAAACACCACCCTAGGAATGCATAGCTAGATTCCTATTGGCTATTTCACTTTGCAAGTTCTCCATCAGGTCCCCACTACTGATTGACAGCAGCAGAGGGCGGGTGCAATAGCTAGTTTGCTATTGGCTATTGCAAAGTGAAATAGCCAATAGGAATCTAGCTATGCATTCCTAGGATGTTTTTTTAATTTTTTTATTCTGACGGTTCTCAACCTGGTGGGTCGCTGTGTGATTTCTGCTGTGCTCGGTGAGAGTCCTCCTCAGCCCTCTCCTAGCGCAGCAGTGTCAGTTCTCCCACCACGCTGCAGCAGCCGCGTCATTCCTAAATTTTACTGTTTGGGGTCACCAGAACTTGGCAAATGTTACCAAGGGGTCCCGGCACTAGAAAGGTTGAGAACCACTGTCTAAGGCCTTGTTCACACCAAATGCAGACCAGATCCGGTCAGGTTTCTGCACACGCAGTGCAGTGGGTTGTGCCGCGTTTTAGACGCGTTTTTGATGCGTTTAGGGCCGGTTTTGGTAAAAAAAAAATTGTTTTTTTTAAGTTTAACATGGGCTTTCAGGCACTTGCATGCGTTTTAGATGCGTTTTTGATGCGTTCCAGACCAGATCCAGAGCAGGTAAAATAGGGCTTGCCGCATTTTTTTCATCCGGTCTGGATCTGGTCTGGATCCGCACGCTGCGATGTGAACTGGAGGTCAAAATACCATAGGAATACATTGGACGCAGTTTTGATCCGGTCTGCACCTACTCTGGTCCGGATCTGCTCCGCGCTTGGTGTGAACAAGCCCTTATAACCAGGTGAGCTGCACTCTGGAGGGTGTTCTCGGCAGTGGTGGAGGCACCTTATGGACTGATGGTGTCAGCATGTGTGGAGGAATGGTGGAAACCACGAGTTGAACAACACTGGATTTCAACACTGTAAAATTATAACACTAATTTTTTTTTTTTTTAGTTATGAACTTTTAGTGATTTACGGTGTGAAATTATGTATTTGGTAAAGTAGCCTCTGCTCCAAGCTCACTCCTGTGATGGACTTCAATCTCACGTTTAGTTTATTGTTTTGTATTGAGATTGTAGTCCATCAGGAGCGAGCTTGGAGCAGAGGCTACTTTACAACACACAGGGACTGTGGGGAACAAAAGTAGTCACACTCCAGAAGGAAGAACAGTGTCAGCACCAATTCAGAGATGATTTGAGGATCTACAGCCGAGTGATAACAGAAATGTATCCTATTTGTGTAATAGTTAAGGTGTTGAATGCATTTTTAGGATTTAACTCCTGAGTTTAGTGTCACTTTAAGGTTTTGAAGAATAAAGCATAACCGGCAACTATTTCATTGAATATGATCCATACACAACCACACATGACCAGAATGTAAATTATCTGTTGTGTATACAGTATTGTTTTGAAGTTGATGCAACATTTTACAATTCTTCTCATTTTTGTTTGCAGTTTCCGGGGGGGAGTGATAGTTACCTGACCATCACCGGCTCAGGACACCCGTTCCTAACTGGGACGGAGGTGAGTGTGACATCAGTATGTAAAAATAGCCTTAATCTTTTTACAAAGTCAAACTGCAGTACTATTTTGTATATTGTATATTCCCTGTTGTACTAGATTAGAAAATCCCAAATCTGATATAGCCACCACTATATTTAGAATAGATTATAGTTGCCTTGGTAATATAGTATATAGGATATTCTTTACAATGTGTTTTTAACCCACTTTTATGCTTGTAAACATTTTAGCATTGAATGTTTAACTGCTGTACTTCTCTTATAAAATCAGTTCTGGAAGCTTTTGACAATTTGGTTCATGCTGGCACAGTCGAACAAACCGTGCAGGATGTTACACATTTTTGTAGTCTGTACTTCACATGTGACTTGTCAGGTAAGCCAGATAGTATCTGTATGATTGTCACTTGCTATGGTGGAGAAGATCCGAGTGAAGATTACCTTTAAAGTTTTTCCATGCAGAAAACACTGGTTTCTGTAATCTAGAGGATAAATAATATTGTGCTCTGTTTAGTGTCTGTGTGTATATATATATATATATATAATATATATATATATATATATCTATCTCTCTCAATATAAATGGGTAAGCAGTATTAGTCCAGTAGACAAGATGTCAAAAAAGACAAAAACACAGTATTGCAGTGTGCAATGATACCTTTCTTATTGGACTAACAAAATATATGTGTGTATATATAGATAGATATATATTCTCCAGAAATCGGCACCCGCGGAGCCTCCTTTTCCCTATGCTCTCGTCCCGTTGATGTCATTACATACAATACAAGGCCCATAGACCTGCAATATAGAAGAGGATGCCAAGGGATAGTCCATAAGTCAGCGTAGGGAAGATGAGGTGAGTACTGACCTCTAGGGTAGGCAAAAGTCCTTTTCATAGGTACCGTAGACATACACTAGATTGCCAAAAGTATTGGGACCCCCCTCCAAATCATTGGATTCAGGTGTTCCAATCACCTCCATGGCCACAGGTGTATAGAATCAAGCACCTAGTCATGCAGACTGCTTCTACAAACATTTGTGAAAGAATGGGTCACTCTCAGGAGAACAGTGAATTCCAGCGTGGTACCGTGATAGGTTGTCACCTGTGCAATAAGTCCATCCGTGAAGTTTCCTTGCTACTAAATATTCCACGGTCAACTGTTAGTGGTATTATAACAAAGTGGAAGCAACTGGGAACAGCAACTCAGCCATGAAGTGGTAGGCCACGTAAAATGACAGAGCGGGGTCAGCGCATGCTGAAGCTCACATTGCGCAGAAGTCGGCAACTGTCTATGGAGTCGGTAGCTACCGACCTCCAAACTTCGTGTGGCCTTCAGATTGGCACAACAGCAGTGTGTAGAGAGCTTCATGGAAGGGGTTTCTATGGTCAAGCAGCTGCATCCAGGCCTCCATCACCTAGTGCAATGCAAAGCGTTGGATGCAGTGGTGTAAAGCACGCCGCCACTGGACTCTAGAGAAGTGGAGACGTGTTCTCCTGTAGTGACGAATCATGCTTCTCTGTCTGGCAATCTGATGGACGTGTCTGGATTTGGCAGTTGCCAGGAGAACGGTACTTGTCTGACTGCATTGTGCCAAGTGTAAAGTTTGGTGGAGGGGGGATTATGGTGTGGGGTTGTTTTTCAGGGGTTGGGCTTGGCCCCTTAGTTCCAGTGAAGGGAACTCTTAAGGCATCAGCATACCAAGACATTTTGGACAATTTCATGCTCCCAACTTTGTGGGAACAGTTTGGGGATGGCCCCTTCCTGTTCCAACGTGACC